CCCAGCAGTATAGTATTTTAAGAAGTCTTAGCTCCATTTCTAAGGAGGATTATGTTCTTCTGATGTATCAAGAGATTTGTTTGTTGCTAAGTTATACTAAGGTATGTATCAGTTACCTTCTCTGATACGTGGAAAAGCTTTGCTTATTAACAGTAACAAATAATTGCTGCTTTACTAATTTCTGACTGGGTATCCATATGGTTAATTTGTAATTTTGCAAATGCAAAGTTGTATATTTTATTAACTCAGTCCAACACCATCTGTTTTCCTAGTTTTTCCTAAATAGAGAAAGTACTTTTTTCCCCTGATAAAAAGAATGTTTTTTCTACCAGCTATGGATCAGAATAATGCAATATTCTGTTAAAACATTGTTGAGAGGATGAGATGTACAACTGATTTTGCCTGGGATATGTCTTGTGCTGCTTTAATGACTACTGCCCTTAGCTTTAGATAACAAATTTCCATGTGATTTAAATTGTTTTGTCTTTTTTTAAAAGATGTACATGAAATCAAAGAATGTAAAAATGTTTATTTGAACCCTCTCACGCTAAAGGTCCAAAGTATTCATTTCTTTCTGAAGAATCTCAAATGTAGATGGATTTTTGAAGTTGGCAATCCAGTTTGCTATATCTGCTGCCTTGGTTTTAGTAAGAATAATCTGTGGAAAATTGAATAAATATTTGATAATTTTTTCTTGGGACAAATTCTATGTTTGCACTTGGGATCAGCATCAGCTTTTTGTGCATGCCATAACTATATTTATCTACAACTGTAACTCTCAAAATGAGTAAGCTATAATATAGTCTTATGCTGATTATTAATAAATATGTGTCTCAACTCTAGTGCTTCCAAGCTTTGTATTAAAATTATACCTAAATCAAGGACCAATTTTAAACCATTTTGTCATCCATTTTCTATTTGTGTTCAGAAGCAGATATGAATCAGCTTCAAGTGCAGTGGATTACTATATTTTTAGTAAATTCAGCTATATCTTCAAGATTGAAATTATGTATTTAAATACTAGGAGAATGTGTAGCAAGCTTTGGCAGATACAGGTTGCCTCTCCTAAGCTCAAACAAAGCTGACTGCTGCAATGTTTTCATCGTATGACAGTTGAACCTCCTACAGTATATGGACTTTGGAAACAGCAACTGCTAATTTTAACCTTCGAATGTTTATGGGATTTTTTGGGTTTATAATATTATCCTTTTAGTCATTTGTAATAAATATATGCAGTTCCTGTTTGCTTTTTAAATAATGGAGTTGGAAGAATGGTAATGCAGGTTTGAGTCTACTCAAATATGTGGAAAACACAAGGAAGCTGTGCATTAAATGTATGGTCTCAGTGTTGGATTTTTTTTTTTTAAAAGACTCTTCCTTGATTCTTCTGGTACATTTCTGATAAATAACTGGTTGCAGCAGAGAAGAAGACCTGAGCAGCTGTAGTTGCTAGACTGAAACTCAAATTCTTTAAATTTGGGGGTTGGGAGAATGTCTGTATTCCAGTGCACTACAAAAGAGGTTGCAAACAATGTACTTAGACAGTAATAAAACTTCAATTTTTTGTAAGTAGTGTCTTTTGTGTCTGAATTTTAAATAAACAATGGGCACATATATATAAGAAAATGCTGGTCTGGTATCCAAGTATCTATCATGAAAAGTAACATAGGCAATGTTAATTTACAGATAGTATTTACATTATGAAATTCCTTCTTCCATCAAATGTCAAAATTAGAAAACTATTCATACTGTATTATTTTAATATTCGGTATGACTTCCAGGTTGTTCTATGGCATTATGCTAAGTACACTGTTTTATACTCTCAATATCTGATTAGCCAATCACATATCAAATTGATGGAAGCAAATGAGCTCTTCTATTTCTACACAGACTCCTTTAGATGAAGGCTGGAATAAAGTAACTTCAGTCTCGGAATGAGAGAGAAAATGTAAAAGAAATTAAATAATGGATATAAACATTTAAGTCAAAATACATGGAATATCCTGTCCTGTGTTAGCTTGTGCTTATCAAATTCCCAAGCTGTAGAAGCGCTGCATTAATATTTTATGAAAGATAGTACATAGAAATAGGACTCATATGCCACCTGAAAGCTAAAATAAAATTTGTCCAGGTCTAGACAATGAGAAAACTGCAAGTCTGATTTAATGGTGCTTTATATACAGTCAGGTCCAGAAATATTGGGACATCGACACAATTCTAACATCTTTGGCT